GCGGCAAAGAGCACTTGGCCAGGGACACTAACGGGGTTCTCACTGCCTGCTAAGGCTCCCTGCAACTGCACCTTCCGCTGGTGGAGCGGAGAAGAGCAGCGAGCAATGAAGCTGTCGCCTTCTCCAGCCCAGGCTGCCTTTGCTACCTACTGAGGCCACTTAAGCAGAAGAGAGCAAGTTAACAGAACGAGGAGCGCTTAGTGCCGTGGTAACTTGCCAAAGTCTGTGCCATTAGCTGTTTAAGAATCATTTGATGCAGACGGGGAACGCTTCCCAAAGAGCTTTGCAGTTGCGGTTTGCTAAGATCATTTTATTTCAGCCCTCCAGGGAACGATCCAATCATGAGCTGTAACAGCGTTTCGGGTGGTAGAAAGTTTCCCAAAGCTCAAAGGAGATGCGACTGTTCCCTGGAGCGCAGAAAAGGCTACGCTCCGTTCTCAAGGTCAGATTAGGAAGGGCAAAACCTGCTCGCTGCTGCCTGCACACAGAGTGTTCGGAAAAGCTAAATATTTGCATCTGTCCCTGATGTTAACGCTGTTTACCCTTCTCCTCTGATGACTGCTGACAAGTTGCAACATCGGGAGGTGGAGAGCTAGTTAACACACAACGTGGACAGGGCTTTTTCTGGGCCATCTGGTGGAAGAACAACATGTGGTGTGAAAGGACGAAGGGCAGCACTGTCAAGAGCAGCAAGGCAACCTGCGAGTCCACCACTGTCAAGAGCAGCAAGGCAACCTGCGAGTCCACCACTGTCAAGAGCAGCAAGGCAACCTGCGAGTCCAAGGAGACCGCCCCTTCAGTGGGATCTGAACATTTCAGTGGCTTGCAGCCTGCAAAATACTGCAGGGGTATGGGGGTTTCAAAATGTTTCCAGCTGAGCTCATGCTTTAAGTTAAAGACTCAACTGAAACCTTAGGCTTTAGAATAGGAGAGGAAAATCTGCCCAGGTAAGATGTCCGGGCAAGCCCTCGTCAAGGTTGTGATTTATCCAATTCACAGAGTCAGAAAAGTCTGTCTACCATCTGAAGCGTTGTCAGTGGACACGATGGGCCCTAAATGCCCACTTTCAGTAGCCATCCAGGCAGCACAGCCGTGTACAGAGCTGTGCTCCTGAGCCCTGCTGGGGAGGGCAGCGCAGTCTGGGTGCAGCAGCCTCAAGGGGGCTGGAGGCAGCCAGCGGTGCCAGAGGCAGCCGCTCCCCAGCGGCGCCAAACCCCTCTTCG